GGTCTAGGTAACACGGAGTTTTCCTCCGTGGCATCCCCACAATTACTCCATTCACACACAGAAGCAGGCAATGGCAAACCACTTCTGGATCATCTGCCAAGAACGTATATGAACAGGTCCCAGTCCGAGAAAAGGATGGAAGGATCCTGTTCATATGGACCTGTCGTCAGACAAAACACTAATTAAATTACCCATTAAAAAAATAATAGTAAGGTTCATTGTAGAATAAAAGTTACAAACAATTGATTTTTGATTTTTAATTGTGCTTGTTCTGAATGCTTAACATACAATAAAAACTTACATTATATGAATGTTTAGATTATTATTGGTAGTAATTTTATCAGAGAGGCTACAATGTAAACAAATGAAAAGCAGACTGTAAAAAAGGAGCTTCTGCACTAAGCCAATAAGTGGATGTGTGTGTGTGTGTGTGTGTGTGTGTGTGTCATTCTGTCCTTAAATCCATGTATGTGTTGTAGTTTGTACAAAGCACTGGTAAATGACCGCACACTTGCAAGAGCAAACATGTTAATTTTAAATTTATTGTTTTTGTTCCAGACAATCCTACGCCAGTGATGAGCCAGCAGCAGCAGATGCACAATATGTCAAGGGTACCTCAGCAACCTGGACAAGGTGGTTCAATGAACTTACCATCTATGGTTGGTCCTGGACCAGGGCAGCAACCAGGTCCAGGGCAGTCGGCACCACCGCCGCCACAATCGAACCAGTCTGGCACCCCTTCAGGTCAGCAACCACAAACTATAGGCCAACAACAGACTGTTGCAGCTCCGCAACAGGGTACACCTCCAGGTGGTCCTGGGCAGCCATCAGCACAACAAGTATGTGAGCATGAAGAATGAATGTTACAGTTTGTTTAATGAGGTTATGACTTTAATAATTGCAAGATTCCAAGTGGCGAAGACATGTATAACCATTCAGCATGCTACACAGTTAAGTTGGCAGTCTGTCTACACAGTTTTTGATTATAGTCTCAAGTGTTTATTAAGATCCACTACATGGTTTGACCTTAATTAGATGGACTGCCAACCTAATGAACAACACACAATAGGATACATCCCTTAAAACTATGCTACATAATGTAAGATATTAACTTAGATTTGATTTTATCGTAGCAGTGGGTTGTTTTCCATTTTTCTTACATTTTGTCCTGTACAAAGAGGTAGGAAAACCATGGAAGAGGTGACATGAAATGTAACAGGTCATATGGCTTAATACCTAACTGGGTGTTGTTGATATTATTTATGACAGCAACCAGGGCAACAGACTGCAGGTGGAAACCAACAGCGGCAGACAATATGGCAGGGTGTTTTGGAATGGATTGAAAAAGCCAAGAACCCCAATGATACTCAGAAACTTACACGGCATGTTCCCTGTCAAGTATCTGCTAACCCAAGAGACGGTGAACCAGACCTGTAAGTATTCACATCCAGGTGTACAGAAAGTTTATCAGAATTAGGGGTTGAATAGATTCAGAAATTTTCCTTACATTTCTTACACTTTTCAGTTCAAAATCTTTGCTGTTTTTTACTGTTACAACATTAAAGATTGAAAAGGATGATTTATAGGACTTAATTAATTCAAAATTTTATTGTGTGGCATGAGTATGACTTCGAGTGATTTGAAACTATAAGGAATTTTCCAAAAAAATATTTCTAATTTTGACATATGAAGTTCTTTGTTTCATTTATATAACTGTCATAGTCCAAATCCCACTTCACTCTAAGTAAAGGTGAAAGTTAAGTTTATCTCTAGATTTTATGTAAAAGCACAGCAGTTTATGGATTCTGATCTAGTATTACTGAAAATAACATCTGTCTTGAAGTGCGCTATGAGGTATGATTGATATTGAGTAACATTTGTTGCATATTTTCAGGAAAGCTGACTCATGGCCTCAGAAGCTTATAATGCAACTGATGCCAAAGCAACTGATTGGGAACATTGGTGGTGCATATTTGAAGAACTCTAAGTCTGTTCTGTTCCATCCTCAAAATTGTGAAGCACTCGAGTCTCTCACCAAAGTTATGAGTTCAGGTTTTGTAAGTCTCTACCTGTTTACAGTATTCCACTTAATATATTGCAAAAGTGATATAATATGTTTGCATATGGGGTTACTTGGTGGTTTTTGGTTATGATATTCATCCCATCTTAGTCCTGCGCCGTAGCTGTGTGGTCTGAGGCATCATGCTTCGGACTGGCGATACGGAATGCACGCTGGTTCGAGTCTTGGGGGGGGGGGAAAAGAAATTTTCTCATGAGCTTTCGACCAGTTTATGGGACTGGTGCCAACCCAGCATCGTGAGGAAATTGGGGAGCTACAATGAGTAGCGTAATATGGTCAGGAAAGCTAGCAATGGCTGGGGGTTTGTCGTGCTGACCACATGTCACCCTATATCTGGTTGGATGATCGTTCACCTCTGCTTAGGCATGTGAACGTGAGGCCAGAAGTCAAGCTAGTCGGCTTTGGCTCTCTGGAGCTGTTATGCCATGGATTTATTTATTTATTTATTTTTATTCATCCCATCATCATTAAGTATGTGGTATTTTTACTTATGGGCACTCACACTTCAGAAGTATATTTCTCATTTGCATGGGGGCTGAGTTGGGAAGTTCAAAAAGGTCATAAACATAGTAACATTTTTTTAAACTGTAGTGTCTTTAGTATGCTATCAAAATCATGTTTTCTTTTCCTTTTCATATATTCGTTGTGCAAAGTACGTGGTGGGAGGTTATTTTTATCTGTTCATTTGTTTGTCTGCATGCTTTTGTTCCAAAACTCCTGAATAGATTTTAGCAAAGTACTGAATCTTGGATATGTTAGGTGAATTTAATTTTGGTTTGTATTATTCATACATTATACAAAGCTGAAATTGGATTTTTAAATTTTCTCAAAAACTTCATCATTGAAAATAACTGGTATATGACAGAATTTATGTCTTATTAGATAACGATCTACTGTTTGTATTTGTAACATTTTTGGATATGGTGAGTATTTAATGAGACAGGAAAATAATTTCTGACTCTATGCATTGTACTTTTGAAACAAGGACACAAGGCCAGTGAAGATACATCACAAAAAACACAGCTGGAAAATATGCATAGTTTTTGGAGTACACGTATCCATATTTGTACGTACATGTTGTCCATTAATGTGGAAGTATCTGTAATTATAAAACATTTGTTACAGGCTGGGTGTGTTCACTTCACAAGTGTTCCTTCACCGCAAACATGTGACATCAAAGTTTTGATACTTCTGTACACATCAGAGAAACGTGCATTTCTTGGGTTCATTCCCAATGATCAAGCAGCATTTGTTGATAGACTTCGTAAGGTGATCCAGCATCAGAAGACTACCCAGGCCCTAATCAGGCAACAAGGCGGCCAGGTTATTATACATGAGTTTCTTAGGGGCAAACTTTCCATTCTTTCCTTCATAGTTTTAAAGTCAATTCATTTGCTAGAAGATTTATGCATACTGTGTTGAGTTTTGAAGTAATTTTATATTGAGTACATTAACTTGGCAGCAGAAACATGTCGTCTGTGTGACCAGGCAAAACACATTTCCTAGATTGTGTTTGTTCTCATTGATATTTTGGCTGTCAAAGGGAGACAAGAAGGCAACATATCACCTGGCAAGAAGTCATTAGTCTGCGAGACCACCACATATATTTCTTCATCAGACAATTTGTACCTGTCTTTTATATTTAAGGTTCCCAATTTAAAGTTAAATTTGTCCGTGGACCAGCTTAACAGGTTTAGGTGGGTTTCCTTCTCTTTTGACATTGGGTATGAAATACAATTTTTTGTACGTTTGTGATGTTAGATTACTAACATAAATTGTATGATAGTATGTTTATGGTTTAAACAAGTGTTTAATGATCCAGTTAACAGTAAAAATGTGAAATGTAGATGTTTGTCGAATGTGTTTGCTCAGGCCAATGCTGGAGCCCTTCAAGCTCCAACAGCTGGGGTGAGCATGACTCAACAGCAGCAGCAACAGCAGCAGCA